GAAGACAACAATATGCCATGTATTAATTATTGAAACTGTCCTACTAATCGATTTTGAAACTGTTTCATTGCTATTTATTTCTGCATAAAATTAATTAAAAAAACAAATATAAGTTTAAGATTTATACATCACTCTCAAAGAAATTACTTACTGTGTATCCCAGTCTTCAGAAATGACAGTAGAGAATGAAAACCAATTCCAATACTGTTGGAGAAGTTAATTTATGAAATTGTTTGATTCTAAAATGAATTTAACTACATGCATTTTCATTAGAAAATGGCATGAATTCATTATTCTTCGTGTACATACATACATACATATATACACCCCTAGTTCTAAGGTATTTCCTATGTGTGTCTCTAGTAACCAAATTCAAGGAATGACACTTTTATTGAGGTCTTGGTTTCTACACAAATTTGAAAACTGAGAGACCAGGCATATGTTTCCTTAGAAAATTGTTGTTCTGTGGCTTGGCTTAAGAAAGTACAATAGTAAAAAAAAAGCCAAAAAAAGTAAAAAAATAATTTGAAGACTTACACTGTTCCTGAGGGCAGGGAAGTGTTGGAACTGTGATCTGATCGTGCCAGAAAGACCCAAAACAGTCTTCGGGGAGGCTCTTTCAAGCAATATTTAAGGACAATTTTTAAAACCAACAAAATGTTCTAGAACATCAATTACAAGAAAAAAAAAGTGTGGTGAGGTTAAAAAAAATTTGTAAGTCATTCTTCCAAAATTGAAAATTTAAGTGATAGGCAATAAAAATACAAAGATAGTCACTCCCATCTCTAAAATCCAGGACCCTGGGAGAAAAAAACTTATTTCTTCCATGTGTAAAAAAACACCAGCATCAATCTCATTCTTTGTTGAAATAAAACTTGCTAAGATATTACAATGGCCTACTGAAAGGCCTCTTAGGAAGTTTTGGGAAAGAAAGTCCCTGAAAAATATGAAGGCTATCCAATAATATTATATGGATTGACTCCACTCCATAAAAAAACCAAAAACTTGGTGTGTTAATGGAGAATCTGGAGGGATAGTGATTAAAGAATGTCATTCACTCTCCTTAAAAATGAAAATTAAGAGGCCAGTGAGATAGCTCAGCAGTCTAAAGCACCTGCTTAGGCAAGCTCAGGTAAATGCAGGGACTGTGATTTGATCCCCAGCACCACAGGCCAGGCCAGCCCCTCCCCCAGGGTGGGCTGAACTGGCCATGGAGTCCCAGCATAGTGGCATAAGCCTGTAATCCCAGTGCTGGGGAAGCTGAAAACAGGCGGATCACTATGAATCTGAGCTGCATAGTGAGATCCTGTAACAACCAAAGACATTAAAATAATAATAATAATAATAATAATAATAATGATAATGATAATGAATGCTATATGCATGTACACATCTGACATATGTGTACACTTGTACTCACTGATCTGTACAATCAATATGCCTGTATAAAAATGTGGGAGGAAACAACAACACAAGTCAAATACCAAGAGTGTCATCCTTAAAATACGGGCAAAGAAATGGAAATTTTAATTTGGAATTTCATACCTAGACAATGTATCTTTTAAAATTGATTTAAAAATAAAGACTCTTAAAAGCAAATAAAAGATAACAATATTGGCATATTTTCCAGTAGAAAAAAAATGATATAACAGTGGAAAAGTCTTGGTAGAGAATTCTGACGCTAATTGAACTAAGAGTGACTTTTCTAAATTAAATAAACTTTACACATCTGATTTTCTTTTTACATCTGACTTTTTAAAACACTTTAAGGTATTTTTATTATTTTTATTTTAAAGAGAAAAAAGATAAACAATGAAACTGAGTTTTAAAACAGGTTAGTAGGTCAGTTACAATAGTTGATACATTGAGTATTGTTGTTTTCAAAGTAGTTAAACACAGTACAAGATATGGACATAATTTTAAACTGAATAAGGTAATTTCATTAAATGTGCAAAGGGAACAATATAGTAATTTGCACGAATGAAAAAACAGTAGAACAAATATTTCTTTTGTTAAGTACTAACTATAAGAAGAATCATGTGTTACCTATTAGATTATCAAAGACTAAAAATATTGGTAAATATGAGGATAATTGGGAAACCAAGCAAACTATTGCAAACATTGATACAACTCTTTGGAAAGTCTTTTGGGATTTCTAGAAATCTTAAAAAATCACTATTCACAGAAAGTTTTTCTCTGTCAAAGAATTACATGTCCAGTAATTTTTTTTTCCGGAACCAGGGATTGAACTCAGGCCCTTGCACTTGTCAGGCAAATGCTTATTCTCCTGAGCCATCACCCTGGCACCTCGTGTCCAATAATTTACTTTGCAATTTCCTTGGTCTAAGTGTGTGAGATGTACACACTTTTGCTCACCTCATTTTCCTGATAGTTATCCATCTTTTATCTTTATTCGTAGATCTCAGTTTGAAAGTGACCTTGACAATTTCAAGACCATTCTACCAGAAACAGTCCAGCCCTGAACTAGATAATTTATGGGGATATCCTTAGTGGAAAATAGTGAAAATATTTTGTTATTGCACCTTCTATTTCTTTATACGCCTTCCTAAAGCTCCACTCTCTTTAGAATAATTGCCAGAGCTAATAATTGCCAAATCTATTTCAAAACTTTTCAAAATAAGCTTCAAACCATAGAAAGCCATGAAAACTTACTCCCCACTTGATTTTTATGTGTAGGGCACTGTCTAACACTTTCTAAGATGCACATTTGCTGTCAATGACATAGAAAGTTGAATTTTTGCCTGCACTCATGAAAACTATTGTCTGCATTAGAAAAAATGATTTGCATCCAAGGCAAATTATTCATGAATCACACAAATAATCTCAGGTAGTTGGGAGGCTGACATAGAAGGATTAGGAGGGCCAGGCCATTTTATGTAGCATACTGAGATCAGATCTAAAAATAAATTTAAGAAGTCTGATATAGCTCAGTGGGAAGCACTGAACGCAATTCAGGGCTTCAATTCAATTCTCAGCACCAGAAAAAAAAAGAAAAAAGTGATTTGCATTGTTTTAATTAATTGACCTATGTTACAGAAAACAGCATTCAATTATCATGATTATTATTATTATTATTATTATTACTATTTGAATTTTACAACTAATTTTTGTGGAAATACTTTTACATTATTTCAATGCACATAGCTACATAATAAAATTATTGATTTATCATTATAAATATGATAAAGTGTAAGTTTAATAATTATTAGTCTCTTCCTCAGCCTAAACTATTCATCATTTGTCTCATTATACAGAAGTTTGTTTGATCCTGATGAGAATCTTAAACCTGATGATATTTTGGTTTTAATCCTAAATAAATAATGTTACCTAAAAATAAACTTCCTGTCTGGAACTCCCCAACAAATTCTAATAAATATTTATATCTAGAAATACCAAAGACATCTTCAATATTTATACTATAGTCATTCCTCAGCAGACATAGGAATGTGATTATGCTCATTTCGTAAAGCCAGTGAAAATAATTCACTACCCAGCGATTTGTGGTCCAATATTTCATATATAGGCCGTGATTTTAATCTGATAAGTCAGTGCATAGCACCAGTACAAATAAGACGTTTTCTATAACAATTTAACAATGATATATGATCTTAAGCTTTTTGTTGTTGCCATTGTGTTTTGTCTTTGTGGTCTGCTCAACCCTCCCTCAGGGTGGGGCTGGTGCAGCATGTGGCGATGGGGATCAAGCTGCGGTCCCTGTGCTTGCCTAAGCTCTCCCGATCAGGCTCTTTAGACTGCTGAGCTATCTTGCCAGCCCAATCTTAGACTTCCAGAAACAGTCTAGCTCTAAGTTCTATGTCATTCTTCTTAGACAAACTTTATATGTTTGTTAATAAAAGAGCCTGACTCATTTCAATGCATGTCTTTTTCACCCACAGGGAGAGTACTTCACCCATTTTAGGGATTTCCTCATGGAGATAAACCTTCCAATGACACACCATATCTGAAAAAAGACTGACAACTAGGAACAGCATTGACAGCCATTTTTCCTATTCTTATTCATTCTCCCACATCAGGCCTTGTAATCAAAATGTACCAGAAATATCACGTTGTAACTTAAGCTACGTCTTTTGTTGCAATGTCCAATCATCTACCTGATTCTCTGTCCTTCCTTCCTTGGCCACTCACCTTATAATCAGATCACCTAAATGAACAATGAAATTCACTCTCTTTGTCTACTCTTTCTCTGCTCTCTCCTTTCTGAACCCTCTTTTCTCTAATTTTCTGTTTTCTTGCTCCCAGAAAAAAACACTCAGGTATAAACTCATAAAGCATAAGATATTATCAAATTTATTACTATGTTATATTCTCTTGCGTAAGATTTGTAATAGTGTGGTTTTCTTTAACACTTGAAGAATTAAGATGAAAGTGTTGGAGGCCATGAGAAATTATTGATACATAAAATTCAACACGTAGCTCCTATAATCTTTATGACTAATACTTCTGAATGACCTTGGAATAATTAAATGTTTAGACTTATTTTAATGGATACCATAGAGAATTTTCTGGATAAGATTATACTTAAGAATCTCTCCTTTCAGGTTTTTTTTAAATTACCAAGATTTTCAAAACTAACAAAATGAATAACTTGTACGCAGTGCCTGAGCATCTCAAGATGATGACTCTAGAGTGCATTTCAATTCAACGGCAGATGTGTACTTCCTGAATCATCCTAGAGAAAGATTTGTACAGGAGCAGCTGAAACAGGGATTAAAAACTAAAATGACAAAAGGAATAAAATATGTTCACTACTTAGCTCTCTTTGTCTTCCTTACTCTCATTCCCTAGGGAGGACGCACAAGCCCAGACTGACAGCTGTCATGGATTATTGTCATCATACTGGAAAATTTCACAAGCAAAGTACTGGAAACAGAAACTTCTGTATCTCAAATAATGTGGGTGGCTGCTGTTGTTTTGTTCTGGGAGAAGGATATATCACACAGGGTGGAAAGGGCAGGGTACTATGAACAGCACATTTTTACCACGTTAATGCGGATCTGCTTGGTTTTCATCCCGTAGACAATTGGGTTGAGGAATGGAGGGACCAGCAAATAAATGCTTGAAAAAAGGATATGGATCCAAGGGGGGATGTGAGAGCCAAACCTGTGTGTGAAGAAGGAGAAGAAGGCCAGGAGGTAAAACTGGAGGAAGACACAGATGTGAGCAATGCAGGTGTTGAAGGCCTTGAACCTGGCCTCCTTCTGGGGCAAGTTGAAAACAGTGATGAATATCTTGACGTAGGACAATGTGATGAAAGTGAGGTCAAATCCCGCCACAGTGAAGGCCACAAACAATCCATAGATTTTGTTGATCTTGATATTTCCTGCAGCTAGCTTCACAATGGCCATGTGCTCACAGTAGGAGTGGGAGATGATTGTGGTGTGATAGAGTTGGAACCGGCACTTTATCAACACTAGGCAAGGAGCAACAAGGATGGCCGCCCTCAGTGTGACAGCAGCTCCTATTTGAGTGACCAACTGGTGTGTGAAAATTGTGGCATGTCGCAGTGGATAGCAGATTGCCACGTAACGGTCAAGGGCCATGGCAAGCAGAATGCCAGACTCTGTGCACTGAAAGGTGTGGATGAGCCACATTTGAAACAGGCAGCCATCGAAAGCAATGTATGGTGAATGAAACCAGAAGATGCCAAGCATCTTTGGCATAATACTGGTAGCCAGTGCAATGTCCGTGGCTCCTAGCATGCCCAGGAAAATGTACATGGGCTCATGGAGACTATGCTCTGACCTGATGATGAACAGAAGCAAAGAATTTCCAATCAGAGCGACAAGGTACATGGCACAGAATGGGATTCCGATCCAGCACTGCATGGACTCTAGGCCTGGGATCCCAATGAGGGTCAAGACAGAAGGCATGAAGACAGTGAGGTTGGAGAGTAACATACTGTTCTTGGGCCACCTGATGTCAACAGAAGATCCACACAGCTACTGTACACTGACTTGGTGTTTTTATCCAAAGCCACCATACTAGAGCTGGCAAGATAGCTCAGTGGAATAAGCACCTGCTTAGGCAAGTATACAGACCACTTTTCTATCCCCAAGACCAAATGCCACACTGGCCCTGGCCCTGAGCTAAAGCCAGCCGCAGCATCTAGGCATGGTGGCACACGCCCATAATCACAGTGCTGGGGAGACTGAAAACAGGAGGATCGCTATAAGTCTGAGCTTCACAGTTAGACCCTGTACCAAAAACACAAAGCCACCATACTGAGCTGTTTGATATTTTTGGAAATCTAAGATCATCTCAGCCACCTTATTCATGTCATTGAAGGGAAACGACAGCTCCATCAGGACACATCCTTGCTTTCAGAGAGGGTTTCCACCACTGTGTTCTGCCACAACAAGACACTATGGACATGAGAGAATGAGGGCCTTCGAATCAGCAAAATCACCTGTATCAGGACTACTCTGCTCAGCATCTGTTATTTCAAGACCTGTGGATGAAAAAATTAAACTTAGTCATTTTTATTAGATAATCAAATTATTGTAAGATTTTGGTAGGTCTTTTCACATTCTAAATTTTACCTGTTCTTGCAGTATTCTCATTCCAATTATCTTTTAATGAGGAACAAACACGTTGGATCAGCAAATTTTCAGGTTTGATTTCTACATTAATGTAAAGTAGGCTCTATGAAAGAGAATAGAGGCAGAAATTGTTGAAACTCAATAGCATAATATAAGCCAGGATGGTGTTCAATTTTAATCTCAGAACTCTGGCAGGCTAAAGAAGAAAAATTTGATGACTTCATCTCAAATTTTAAAAAGTACAAAAAAATGTGTGAAAGTCCTAAGAACAATACCTTATACCAAAAGAAGAAAGAAAGAAAGAAAGAAAGAAAGAAAGAAAGAAAGAAAGAAAGAAAGAAAGAAAGAAAGAAAGAAAGAAAGAGAAAGTTTGTACCATTTGTATCTACATAGAACTTCCAAATCAGAGCAATAAGACACAGGGCACAGAATATTTGAAGAAACCCTTTCAAAGTACACCAAAGAAAATGCTTTAGAAAAGATAAGTCAAATATTTTCCCACTTTCCAGTATTTTTATTGGCACATGTTTTCAGTACATGATGGCTGCATCTACTGTGGGGAGCTGATACATGTATGTACCACATTTGTGAACATTTGATATGTCTAAGCCAATGTCCTTTACCATTTTGAATTTCTACTTCAATAGCTTACTTTTGATTATATATCTAGTAATTGACATCCTTACCATTTAGTTGTTGGCTTAAAGTGTCTATAATTCTATAACACACCATAGATTCCTAGAAAAGAGAAACCCTTACCACATAAAATACTGGATAGCTATAATGCATGTAATGAGAGAACGTTCTTAATGAAATGCAAGTATAGGAAAAGTGAGAGATGTATAATTTATCCAGGAATAAAGATAATTTCTTGGCTTTAAACTTCCTACAACTATGATTTCCATAAAATATGATCAATGAATCCCATGTAGATTCATTAGTTTTTAACAAAATATTATTGTTTTGTAAAATCAACAGTTAGAAATTAATGAAAAACAAAGAGCTGAAGAGATTCCTTTAAAAGAGCCAAATAGAGCACTAGTTAAGGAAAAGATAACAAATTTTGGGACACCAAAAATTAGTCAGAGGAGGACTTCAGAATAACAAGAAAAATTAATCATTTCTGAATTTCAATGATGACTGAATTTTCTCAAAACTTGGGCCGTGGAGCCTGATATGAAAGTTGTTTAATAAAAGTTTTACATGATACACTTTCAGATTTTGAACCAATGAATCCTTAAACTGTCTATTGGAGAATTATCCATTATTTCTGTGAAAAAAACTGAATTACTTTATCTATTCCTAGACTGCTAATGAATTTACTGTACTTCAGCAGGCTCAGGAATCAGCCGACCTTATGCTTCAAGTCAATAGTGCACCAGTAATCTCCTAAGCAGCTGGGCTTGATGATCCTAGATCTGCCATGAAGGATGAGAATGAGCAGCAGCTGTTTTGTGCTGGAAAGGCTCTTCCATGAGGCATGTGGTTAGGACAAACTGGTCAGCACAGTAGCTTGCCCAGCTTTGCTCGCCAATGCTTAGTGCTATGGCATTACTATACATAGGTCGCT